TAATCAGTCAACAACTTAGATCTTTTTGTGCTTTCTCCCAAAATCAAATAGATCAACACGAATTCTTTAAACCTCTCTTAGGCCTCAAGAGAAGATAATAAGTCCCATATTCGAGACTTCCTTTGATTGTATTGTCGAGTTTAAAGGGTTCAAATCATTCTTTCGAAATTTCTTAACTTTTTATTTTATTTGTATCAACTGAAGCATACTTTTCAAAGAAAATCTCTTGATTTTTCTCGAGTATCTCCTATCCAAGCTTTTCAGCAGGCTCCGTCTTAGTGGATGGCTCCGGAATATTAAATTGAAACTCATTTCAAAATGATGAGTTGTCCCTGAGATAACTCATGCAGAGATTCAAATGTTATTTATTCTTTAGAAGAATTGAATATTAAAAATAAACTATTTTTTTCCTTTGAATCTTAAGTTTCTTATATACTTTAATACGCGTAAAAGAGAACGGTGAATACATTCCTGCACTCTCTGAGAAGTCCCCGGGCACTCTCCCAAGGACTCCTTACATCCCTTAAATTTAGGGACTCCATGGGGATTCTCCATTAGGATCGAATTTTATTTGCTTATATGATGGAGCGTCAGACATCATAATTTACTGACATAATAAATCATTGGACCGAGCATGTTCTTTTAAAACAAGAAAAAAACGAAACGTAGGTCATCTAGTAGTTCAAAATAAGATCCTAGAAGAGTGGAGCTAAATGGGGGCTTTCATTAAGAGGGAGCAATAAATATTCGAAGTGAAATGGTAGCATAATAAATCAGATTAGAGAATAGGTGGACCATTCCGAATAAGTGAGCATGTAACAGTCTAAAATCATACTTGAGATAAGAGCTTCGCTTACTATGAAGATTAATGGGATATAACGCCGAAATAAAACTACGTCATAGCTGAAGAGTTAACAACATAGTGTTGAGTTAATGATTTCCGCCGATGGAAAAGTACAAGGGTTCAGAATAAGGGTTTAGAATGAAGAAATAGAGTAGGAAGATAGTTTAACAGCTCAGAATAGCGCTCTGGAATAACTGGATAGGTTACAATTATAGAATCGGGAGAAAGATTAAGGCTTAACAATAAAACTATCTAATATGGGGTTATATTAAGGAAATAGAGTAAGAGGGTAGGCGACGACTTCAGAATAATGACTTAGACTAAGGGGTTAGAGTACACCGTAAAAAAAAAGAGTATGATATTAAACGATTGCCCTCTTTGCAATTTTTCATAAACCCTTAAAAGGTTTATGACGATCTCCTATACCCTTGATGGGTTCAGGAGTAGAAGAGTTTATGAAAGCAAGGGTATATGAAAATAAAAAGGGTTTATTACCTTGAAATTCAAGCAAAAGGTTTACTATTCTACGCACTATGGGTATATTATTCTACCGTTTCAACAGAAAGGTTTATTATTTTACGTATAAGGGTATATTATCTACGAATTTAAGGCAGAGGGTTTATAATTTTTGCATGAGGGTGTAATTTTTTATTTTTAGCGAGAATTATGCGTTTTTACGCATAAGCAAGCATTTCTCAGACGTCGTTTTTCTAATATTGATTTACAACGATAATATGTCCGTTATATCTTATACTAATATTTACTGTTCGTTCTAGGCAATTTATCAGAAGTAGAGAAACGTTCGTAAAAGCTGTTCTAAGATTTGATTACTATGAAAAATTGATCCGAGGTTTTTTTAAACTTTTTTACCATCTTGGATGTTCAGTGGGAGAAGTGATATGAGTGTACCGAACGTTTTCATAAACTCTTTCCTTAACCCTTCGGAAGGGTATTTAAATGCACTCAACGTTTTCCTAAACTCTTAAAAAGGGTTTATGAAAGGGCTTATGAAAGTTTTCACATACGGTAAAAAGGGTTTATTATACGTCGCACTTTCTTAAACCTTAAAAGGTTTACGATTCTACGCTTTTTTTTACAATGTAGAGGGATAAACTGTGATTACTACTCTGCAAAAAAAAAGGTACCGTACGGAACTTAATTTGCAACGAAATCTAAACCTTTTTGAAGGTTTCGTATGGACCTAAGACACTGTCAAAAGACTTGCCAAGAGCCCAGGAATCTTTTTTAAAGTTTCGTAGAAAATCTACGAAACCTTTTTTAAGTATAGTAGTGAGCACGAAACTATTTTTAAGTTCCGTAGCATGTACGAAACCCTTTTTGGCCCTCTTTAGTTCCGCATGGAACCTTTTTTTTCAGTGTAGGATTTATTAGGACTTTTTAATAAGTCTATCAGCATGCTGGGATAAATCTCACGCTCTTCTACAAAACATAAAAGACGTAGGTTAGGCTCAGAGTAAAGCTAAGGGTGTGAATTTCCTGAAATATTGTCATAACTAATAAATCGTTAATATATAAATAAATCCCTTAGAAGTAGGTCCGGTAGTTCCTTTTACTCGTATTAAATGGAAGCCAAATATCTTGAAAAGCTCACACATCATCAATTTCCAGGTCTGATTCAGAATTCACTCGAGCGGGACAAGAGGTTTTTTTAGAATATCGGTTAGTAAAGGTATGTTTTTTTAAGGGGGAAATTGCTGACCTTTTACTTTTGAGCTATATGTATGAGCACTTCATAGGGATTCACCAGTTCCAGTTCAGAACTGAAGTGTTGGATCCTCATGGACTATTATTTAAAGGCACCCTTGGGTTCTCATATGCTATTATTTAGAGGTACCCTTTGTGTGCCAATGGGCATATTAGCTTATGTGATATCTTGTATTTCTCAGTGTGTTCTCATACAATCTATGATACACAGTGTTTGTGAATTGTGTTACTCTTACGTTCATCTATGCGTGATTTAACGTTGTTCTCTTGCTGTCGTTATGCGCTTCTCATTGTGTAATGCCATTCAGTCGTATACTATACTGTTCCTCTATGTCTGTTCTCTCCTTGACCTCATCGTAGATAAACGTGTTCTTCATATCTGAAAGATACGATTGCATAATGTTCTGTTATATCATTCCTCTTTCCTTTCTCCTCTGATGTTGTATTCTCTTTTCTCTCTTTTCTCTCTTCCATCTTTCCCCTATATAAGCTCACATTATGCATTAGATAGTTACATTTGGAGATTGTGCACATTCGGATGTAATGCACTAGTCGAATAAACATCATGCCCAACAGTGGGATCAAAGACTTTTAATGTGCCTCTCCATTTGTCATTAACGGATATCTATACATATATATATATACGATTATATGCCATATATATGTCTATATTTTTCGTTCCACTTTGGCCCTCATGTCCTATTATTTAAGGTACTCCTGCGTCTTCATATGCTGTTGTACGACTCTATGCTGCAATTCTTACGTCTTTAAAATCTCTCCACAGAATAAATATAAGTCCACCGTGTAATAGAAGCCCATACGGAACAGAAACCTAGTTCCAAGATTATCGCTTTCGAAACACACTAGAAACCCATCTATCCAAAATGAGCACAGAACAGATACTTTTGCAAATTGATAAGTGAACTCATTGCTTCTGAGTATTTAATTATAGAGCATTTTTATATGTCTCAATCGATTTGATTTGTATATATTTTCTATCAACAGAAAAATCACAAAAATTAATGCCTTTCAAGTGTTGGAAAATATAGAGCAATTCGTATTAATATAGGATAGTTATCTTAGAAGTACTGAAAACGTTTTACGTATGGAACAACACCGTTCTCTTAGGTCTTTTGTTGTGTGGAAATTACGCATAGCTTAGAAACCAAAATATGCAAACTTATACTAACTTTTGCGCCAATATGCATAAACTTTTCACCAAAAAATAAAGTTTCTGAAGAAACTGAAGTATAATTGGCACCAATTCTGCACAATTCATCATACTTGAATAACAATGCCACTATAGGATTCTACGATATAAACTATTATAATACTCAGAAGTCTGACCCATCTATATTTCCAAAATGGAAGATTCTTACTTTACAGTCAACTAATCATTGCATGTTTCTCTGGCAGTATGTAAAATATATGTCGTTCCGTGTTGGAACTATGTTCAGGTTTCTAGGGTCCTTTCTGCTTGTGTGCTAATTAAATCTTAATCGCAGCATAAAACAACCATTGGAAAAGGAGCGCCTGCGCAAACATATAACTACCACATGAGAATTAAATCCACGCTGCCCTATCACTCCCCCATTGAGTTTTTATTGTGAACCGACAGGTGAAGGAAGGGTTAACAGAACATTAGGACCTAAGGGCACTTCCAAATAATATTTCATGATGGGCAAAGGATGTCTCTAAATAATAAGACATGAGGACGTAATGGTTCCTCTGAATAGTAGCTAATGAGGACTCAAGACTACTTTCAGATAGTAGCATATCAGTACTAAAGGTACAGCTAAATAATAGGACTTAAGGGCCCAAGGATACCTCCAAAAGAGTATCCCATGAGGACCCAAGACCTATCTCAAATATAGAGAATTGAGGACTTGAGTAAAACGCTATTTTATGTAATATACCATTATATTAGTGTTGTTCTGATTAATTTCATTTTATAATATTTTTCTTTAAAAGAGGATTAATGATTAAAGATAATTATTAGTTGCGGGTACAGCTTTGTAGATAAGTTGAATATAATGAAATACACAAAATGTAATAAGAACACAGTAAGAGTTCTATCAGAATTTAAAAGTAATAACTTTTCTATGCCTATGCGACATATATCGGCAAAGTAACAAAAGAGGTATTGGTCCAATATGAATTTTCTTATAGTGTATGCTCTAGGAAAGATAGTCATTTTCAGATTTCACTGAGATCTAACTGCTAAAATACATCAATATAGATGTACTACATGATTCTATACTAGTACCAAACTTCCTTGGTTGATTTTATTAAAAATCAATCAAATCTATAGTTTTATGATGGCGTTTGTCTAAAAACTAACTAAATCTTTAAATGAAGCTCTATATCCCTGTAACAGTCATCTAGTTTAAATATATTCTGATCATTTTGTAGATTATATTCGAGTTCTAGTATGTCTTCAAGCGATGAAGGAGATTTTCCAAAACGAATGCGACGGAAGCGAAATCAGAGTTTTGAGCATGAACAATTTCAGTCCCATCAGTTTGATTTTAATATTGATGAAGCAAATGAACTGGATAATGAAACTACGGCTGATGTTGGAGCAATAACAATACATGATGATTTACAACAACAGAATTTAACTCGAGATCAATTACAACAACTATTCTCTCGAGTTAGTTCTGAATTAGTTGCAGAATCAACGGATGATCAAGAGTTTTTTAAACGTAAAGCAACAATCAAAGTACCAAAAACAAATAAGGTGATACAAACACCATTTCCATCTTTTCGATCAGATCGTCAAGAGGATTTCGACATTAGTATTGAACAATTGAAACAACTGGCTAAAAAATCGGCAGGTCCACTGATCATTGAAAAGCATTCTCCTTCTGAAAAAGAAATTGATTATGCATTATCAACCATTGCATTAACATTTAATCAATTCATGATAGCTATTTCATCACTCAATGAACAAATAAATCCAGAAGATCTAGGTATATCATTAATACCAAAACCAGAAGGTCAATGGAGATGGATAGACACGAAAACAGTTCAATTTGAAGCAAAACATCGTTTACCATATTCAACAAAATATGCACTAAGAGTCAACAAAGAACATTGTGTGTCAACAATCGGAGGTAAATCTATTTAAAACTAAAGATGTTACCAAGTGTATTCAATAATAGATAACTATAACATGCAAAAAATAGAAGACACATGGTTGTTTACTGAATAATTTCAATGATACTCCTGCTCGTTTTCAGAAAAATTGTTTCGTTTTCATCTGAACATACTGCACGATGAAGATAACTCTGGAATACAGATGTCAAACATCTCGAGTATTCTGCACTTTTCACTTAAGCCCAAAAGTTTACTTTCATATAGTCTGATGAGGGAATATAATCATCACGACTAAAATAACCTTTGTTCAAGCTTACGTTTTTAGTTTAATCGGGTTGAAATTTTTCTTGCAGCTACATCAGCTTCTAATTCTTTTAAGTGTTCTTGACATCATTGTTCGGTCTGTGAGAATTCTTAAAATAAAACAGTCATTTTTGGATACCTCGCTAAGGTTCATATATCTTTCAAAAGACATCATAATAATCTTAAAATCGATTTGTAAAACTGTACTTAAAAGAAAAAATTCTTATAAGAATTAAATGTAAAATTGGTGGCAATGAAATCAGAAACTTTTCTCTATAAATATCTCAAATGGTTAGTTAAGTATAATTAAGTAAATGATTGATTTATTAGAAATACAACATATCGATGCTGCACATTGTCATCATTTTCATCTATATATATAGCACTGAATAATTTTGTCCACCTGTTTCTTAAAAGGTTCAACTTTCTGTATTCATGTTTTCTGTTCCTTATATTTTTCCAAAGCCCCAGTCAACTAATAGATTATATTCTACGTTGAGTTTTAATATTCTCATCGTTTTTAGGAAAGTTAGACGATGAATTTTTCTTCGAATTCTCAACAAAAACATTACAAGTTCTTGAATTTTTACCAAATGGAACAGTTTCAACATTAAAACCTAAATGTTTTCTGCTATTCAATCAGAAAATCGATATAAATGAAATTTTCAAGCATATATGTGTAGCCAGAGATGATGGACATCAAATTCAAACGGAGAAATTACAATTATTAGATGAAGAAGCAGTAAAAAGTGAATTTAAATCGTTCATAAATCGAAATGAAGAAAAGCGCCAGCAATATATTGCATTTACATTTAAAGAGGATTTATTAAAGGCAACACAATATACAATTCAAGTACCTAAAGATTGTCCATCAGCCGAAGGACCACTAAAGACAACATTAGAATGGTCAGATGATTTTACTACGTATAAACGTTTACAAATAACTGATTGGTTTCCAAATATAAACGATACATACCACCAGACTGCTATTCCTGGTCAAAGTTGGACGATTACATTCAATAATTCCTTAGATCATTCAACAATTAAAAAATCCATATTTAAAATCGAACCGGAAGTCAGTGGTTTAGGTGAGTTCAAATAAAACTCGTTTTATAAAATATATCCTCATTACTTTGTTTTAATAATTAATATTTGGTTATAAATAAAATCAATCTTAAAGAAAAAGTTCTTTTAAGGTATTGAACATAGAAAATACAATAGTCGAGAAATATTAATACATAATAATTCTCAACCAAACACAGTTTATACATTGTTTATACAATCAGGAATATTGAAAGATATTTTCGGTCAAACATTAGAACAAGATCATTCCAGTCAATCAATTCAATTTCACGTAGATGAGTTCAATTCACCATTATCTGGAGCTTTACAGGGTGAATCAGGTATAGTACAAAAATAATATAAAAGCAAAATTTAAAAAACAGATAGATATTGTCAATAAAATAATGTTTGTTTCAGGGATGATTACATTGGATCCTGGCCTATTGGATGACCCGTATTACTCATTTGTAGTTTGTAATTATTCAGAATTAATACTTCGTATTACTCGAGTAAAACCAGAGCATTATCAATCACGTTTACTAAATTCCTATCGAGATTCTGATGAGGATGAAGAACAAGAATCGTATACTAACTTACCTGGTGAAGAACTGCTAAATGAAATTATTCAAACAGACTGTCAACAAAATGAACCCAAAGAGATAAAAGTTCCGTTAAAGGCGTATTTGACGAAATCCGTTGGACTGGGTCAACTATTTATATCAATTGAACCAACCAAAAAAGCACGCGATCAATTAAAACATAGGCCATGGGAAGGTAGACCAACTCTATTAGTCTGGCTACAATGTACAAGATTAGCAGTCGATATATTTACATTTTCAAGTAATTTTATTTTAAAAGAAAAGTAGCTAATTTGTTTTCGATTTATCCCATTGATTTCATTATAATCAAAAAATATAATTTAAGATTGAGTAGAAATGATCAGACATACAATTCTCACAGTCAGTAGTATGTATCACATCCTTCACAGGCATAATTAAACAGAGAAAGAATTTGTTTCCTTTCCAATTAGGTGGGAAATTTTTAAATAGATTCTAACTGAATCATTTTGAATTATTCAATTAGATGATGAACACATATATTGAATATTCCTTCTTTATGTACTAAACCAAACAAAAGATTGAAACTTTGGCTGGTAAAATTTTTCGAAAATATGTCAAATTAATAAGATTCTTGCGTAAAACTCAAATTCTTCAATCATCTTAGTTTCTTCAAAATTCCCATGAGCATTAATTGACTATCACCTAAATAATTCTTCTCAAACGATGTGGTTCGGTTATTTGTGTTCTGTTGTTCTTAGACGACGAAACAAGAAAATTAGTGAGTACTATCCTTGCTATTGATCATACATCTGTGAATTACTTCTCTTGTTCTCTTTGTCGAAATACTGATCGAAGATCTTGTATTGGTTGGACACGAACTACACGGTGTCCATCTCAGATATGCATTAACAGTCGTTACTGTAACATCATAAGATAACTCTTAGAAGGAATTCTCTATGCAAGCTAATCAACAATTTCCGTTGAAAATTTCAAGTTGCACAACATTTGCCATGTGAAATGTTGGCTGAACATTTTCATTATGTAATGAAAACAAATCTGTGCAAATATATGAAGTGATGTACAGGGTAGGTAAAAATATTTTTCCAGAGATAACGCTATGATTTCAAAACGTGCCACTAATGAATTTTATACCAAATGAAAGCTTGTGAAAAATGGGGTTTTGGAGTATAACTGATCATTCATAAGATGAGAATCCGCTATAGAATTGTGGAAAGTTTCAAATTTTGGTGACATAATTGGACACTTCCAGGTTTAGTCAACCACAAAAAACAAAGGTTCTCAGGGAATGTTTTCCCCTTCCAGACCTTATAGACCTCTCTTCGCTGATCATTTTGGTAAAAAAAGGTTTTTAATTTGATAAATAAATAGCAATTCTAGAGTCAAAATACTCATAAACATCTTAGGTCCATTAGCCACAGCAACTTGAGACTGTCAGCATTTTGACCATGGCATCGTTATTTATTTATCAAATTTGAAAACATTTTTACCAAAACGTTTCAGCGAAGAGAGGTCTATAAGGTCTGGAACGGGAAAACATTTCCTGAGAACCTTTGTTTTTTGTGGTTGACTAAACCTGGAAGTGTCCAATTATGTCACCAAAATTTGAAACTTTCCGCAATTTTATAGCTCATTCTCATCTTATGAATGATCAGTTATACACCGAAACCTTATTTTTCACAAGCTTTCATTTGGTATAAAGTTCATTAGTGGCACTATTTGAAATCATAGTGTTACCCCCCTGGAATAATATTTTTACCCACCCTGTACACGCTACACTGATATCTATACACTAAAAAATAATGTGTCGCAGGTTCAATGGTAAAAAATCTGTCGTATATGAATTTTTTTGGTTCTGTCCGCTGACTATTCATTCACCATTTTATTTTGCACATATAGCTACGTATAAACAACTTGATGGAACATTGAAGACTTATGTTTTCATTTCTATTATCTTTTTCTAGAATATTTCTCGATGATATCTTAGTCGAAAACGAACATGCCAATTTCGATCGATGGTTGAGAAAGGACTACCCTGAAGCGGTCTGATGAAGATCGGGTCACCTAGAAGTCACACAGATCTCAGGATTTGACCTTCTAGAGTATTCAGAATATGAATAGTTAAATCTTAAAAAAATGAAAAATGCGATGCGGAATAGATTCGAGTCACGTTTTCAGAATGTGTCGCAAAATACGACACATGCGACACATTATTTTTTTTAGTGTGTACATTTCACACCCACACCCTCTAGCGCAGAAATAACGCTCACAACTTTTTATTATAGATAAGGATGGTACATTAACTGCATGGGTTAGTAATTTAATGACTGGTGCACCCATAAGTCAAGCAAGTGTTTCAATATTGAACCATAAAAAAGTAACAAATCAACAAGGATTATGTACCATTGATAGGTACAAGACAGAAGATGTTTCAAGAAGAGAAGAAGAAGACAGAAAAAACGAAATATTAGTGGTAGAAAAAGATGGAGATCTCTGTATGAAAGTAAGTATTTATCCTGATCAAGCAACTGATGACGTTTACGTTTGGCATGTATTTAATGATCGTGGTTTGTATAGACCAAAGGAAGATGTGCATATAAAAGGTTATGTTCGATTACTGAAAATAGAAGGTGAAGCAAAACTACCTACTTATGCGCAAGGTATAGTTGAATATAAAATTTATGATTCTCGAGGTGAACAACTTCAACAGTCAAAAGTGCAATTGAATCATTATGGGACATTTGATATCAAATTTACATTACCTGACAATGCTAACTTAGGTAAAGTTTAATGTTCTTACAAAACTCTATAGTTATTTTGGCAGAAACTTCTTCATACGAGACTTATACATCTCGTTTTAACTGTAGAGAATCCCTTGAATATTTACATAAAATTATTGCTAACCAATTTTTCAGCTTACTGTCATCTATGAGAATCCGAAAAAATACTATCTTTTTACATGGATCGATAGACTTGTATACAGAAAAAAGACCATTTACATTGAAACTCGCACATATTTTGAATCGATTAAATTCAAAATTCTATAATAAATACTATACAAGACTACCTAGCTGAAGATTTGCTTCGTTCGATCGTCATTGGTTTTCGAGTTTTGGAAATTTAAAGCTGCAGTGATCTGACTTATAGGACATTTGTAAACGTTTTTACTAGAACAAAAAAGAAATCATTTGTTCAATTTTGTTTTATATTTATGACAAAACTTCAATATCTAAAAAAGTAGATAATTGAATTTGCGTGAAAAGTGAGAAATTCATAGTTATACCTAAAGACTTGCAAGAATAACGAAGTGTTCAATGACATCCATACCCTGATAATGTCGTGTTTAGATGAAAAAATATGAGCTGTAGTTTGATAAATATAAACTCATTATAAACAGTTTACTACGTTTTCCTGTGTATATTTTGCCATCGAAATTGTTTGCAATGCAAAAGTCAGTTCGTCTATGCTGATTTTTTTTAAATGACCAAAAATTGAGAAAATTTCTAGACCGACTAGTTGCACCTCTGATACACAATTGCATAGTCAAAGTTCTGATGTGTTTGAAGAGTTTTATCATTACATACGATATACTCTGAATTCAGCTATATGCATATGTCATTTCTTGAAAAACTTTAGTTGCAAAAGTTTGCAAGTTCAAAGAATTGATTTTGAATTCATATTATTATTAGGTAAAGGACGCGTCGAGTTCAGTTTACCAGATTCAAAAAGTGATACAGAACATTATTTTCGAATTGAAGAGTTCCGAACGCCAGAGTATGTAGTTTCATCGATGATTCAACCAACAATAGCACATTATTGTCATCCAACTACTGATCGATACGTTATAGCTACTTGTGAAGGAAAACTATTTGCTGGTGGTTATCTAAGTAATGCAAATGTTCAATGGACGGTGCAAGCCGAAACAACAACATTTACACCAGCTAATAGATATGATTATATGTTTGGTAGAGCTAAGTCGTTCTCTTACTATTCTGATGATCATACTCAAAGCAAAATATCATATCCAAACAAGAGTTTGCAGGTAATAAAGATTTGGGTTAAGCACTGAATGGCAAGCTGCATTCTGAGAAAGCAATGTGAAATCAGACTGAAACATCCTCCAGTCTCTATATACCAACTTAACCAAGAATTGTTGTTTATGTTGATTTTATTTTTCTCCTTGTTATCATCCGTTAATAAGAAAGTTAACTTAACAGGCAAAAAATGCACCTGTATATCATTTTGTAAAAGTCAAAGATTCTATTATTTTTATGAACAAGATTTAGTCAGAGATTCAATTATGAAACTACTAGGAATTGCAAAGTGCCAAGCATAAAATTGTTCAGGAATAGACGAACATATTGACAAAGAGCGAGCATTGAAGTCTACAGTCGTTTAATTTAAATAACCCATTACTATCTTTATTGGCGTAAATAACTATCAAAGAATTTTAAAAACTTAGCGTTTTAATTACTAAATGCATTTTTCAAATAACTTGGAAAATCTATTTTAGGTTCTTATGTGTTTTAAAAATGACTCATTTTCTTTACTTGTAGGGTAAAACAAACAGCAAAGGTCAGCATGAAATAAAAATTACTTATCATGGTATTGAACAAGAACCAAGACCAATAATTGTTCATGCATTAGCAGTCATTACTGATTTGAATTCTCAAACACAAGAAACACGATCAGATTTTCTCATACATCCATGTACATATTATGTTGGATTTCGGTTCGTAAAGAATTATGGTAGGATAGATGAACCTGTACAGACAAAAGTTATTGTAACAGATATTGATGGAAATTTAATTGATAATATTTTGATTGAATGTAAAGTCATTGGATATGGCAAGGAAAAAAAAGAAGATCAGAATGGTTTAACAATATTTGAAGAAATAACTGATGAACAAAGATTAGCAATTGTCAGTTCAAATAAAGACGCCGTCAATATTGATTATACGCCAAAATTAGGTAAAAAAAGATAGAATTTGTAAGAAGAAAAAAACAAGTTAAAGTTCATTAGAGTAAAATCTTGTGTAATAAACTTTTTTCCTTCAAATCGAAAGTAGTACTTTAATAAACATTTTCAAATTTGTAGTTTTAGTTGGAGAGCTTTAAAGAAATTTCTACTATTGTATTATTGGAAACAAACCACCTTACGCCACACTAGGTCATCAGAAATGAGATTTATATCTGCACTATCGTAGAGATAAATTTTGCATGCATCGCGGTAGATAATGCACCATTTTTCATGGGTCTACGAAAATTGGTCGAACGAAAAATGGTCGAACGAAAATTGGTCGCGGATAATTGGTCGCTACGAAAATTAGTCGCTATGAAAAGTAGTTGACTATTTTGTAATTAAATGAATNATTATGCTACAGGCATTTTCCAGTTTTCTCCAATTTTTTTCTCCAAAGAACAAAAGATAAAAGAGAGATGCTAGAGCATCAGATAGTCGTAATTAGTCTCACGTAGATGCGCACCTAGCAGATCAATATCATTCCTTATTGTAATAAAATAAACATTTTTCTATGTACATATGAGGGGGGGGCTATAATTATGACAACCCCTGTATCACTGCTTCATAGTTCGATCCAGCTGGTGGGACTCAATACTTTGTCGTATTTCTTTTTGCTTTGCTGATTGAATTGAAAAGCCTTTCTAAACTAACGATAATTACAGCAATATTTTTTTGAATTGAGGCTTAGCAATGTAATTCAATAGCATGCAACCGAAACGATAATAATCTAAAGCAGCTGCTCTTTTAAGGATATCTCGTCTTTTTGCCTAGTTCTTTGAGTGAAAAACATAATCGACGCATCATACCGTAAGGAACTATCATTGAATGCCAAAGATGAACCGCTTCTGTTTCGTTTGTGGAATTCTGGTCACAGCTCTCTGTTGTTTATCAGCAGCAGAAGCTCCTCATGGTAAGAAATACTCGTATATGTTTCAGAAGTAATGTAGTATAGTTCAGCCATACGACTCAATAGGTAATCAAGAATTTGGGCAATATTCGATTGGGCATCTTGCAAGACTTTAGCCAAGGATCTCGATTAATTTTCCGTGTGAAAATAGTCAAGTGTTTAGAAAATTGTAGGAATTTTGAGAAAATTTGCAGAGACAGATATTTTTGCTAAGAAAGAAAGGTGGCCGTTGTTTTGTATCTGATCAGAAATTCTGTGGGTGCTTCAAAGTGTAGCCAGTTGATAGACATTAACGAACAAAATGAATTAATTTTGGAAAACGAAAAGGAAATGAACTGAAGTACAAATCGACTCGTTTCTGTCTGGGTATCTAAGTGCTCACTGCAGATGTGTCATAAAAGCAGTCACTCTGTCGAATGATCTAACTACATCAGATCTAAATCAACGTTTCAATTAGGGGTGAGAAAGTTATTGTTATTGTTATTGTTATCAATGACAATAACATTAACTTTTTGATTCAAAACAATCAATGAAGCAAATCTAAGCATAGTTTGTATGAGCGTCAAAAGATCACTTTAGTAATACAGTATCTTTTCTTACCCTTTGATATAAGAACTTACAGTAAATATTTTGAGAAATACTAACATAATATATTTTGTTATTGTTATTTTGAAATTTCTCAAAATATTTACCAGAAGTTCTTATATCAAATGGTAAGAAAATACACTGTGTTACTAAAGTGACCCTTTGATGTTCGTATAAACTATGCATAGAATTGTTTCATTGATTGTTTTGAATCAAAAAGTTAATGTTATTGTTATTAATAACAGTAACAATAACAATAACTTTCTCACCCCTAGTTTCAATCTTGGTTATCATTTTTTTTGTCTTGCGGTCATATCGATGAATTTCAGTATTTGATCTCACACAGATCATCTCAATCACCACGTCATTCATAAGATTTAAACTAATAGCTTACATCGACAAGAGTCAATAGTCCATTATCAGGGGAAAATATTCGCATGACAATGGTAGTCAATTTTTTTCTATTATATTTGAAGAACCTAATTGTGAACTGTATCCGAACGAAGCTCTTCTGGCAAATCCAAATGATCCGCATTCCTTTTATCAATGTTCGAATGGCATTGGCTATTTGCTTCAGTGTCCAACAAATCTTGTTTGGAATCAACAAAAGCAACTGTGCGATTTTAGTGATAATGTTCCAGAGCCCGAAAGTAAGATATTATTGCTGATTTTCAGCTTGAAGAGTTGTTTAGATCAGAATCAACTTGAAGAAAAAAAAACATAATATGATGTAGAAGTATACTGTTTTAATAAATTACGTAGTGCACATTCTGTAAGAAAGCCTTCTACACTCCGTTGATGAGATTGTAACTACGTAATTACAGTTTGGCCTATACTTTTTAACAGTTTTTCTCTGTATTCAGAGGAATCAACCAGTACGATAGCGTCAACTGCACCTGTGGAATCAACGACGACAAGTGCTAAATTACCATTCCAATGCTCACATCACACTGTTATAGATGATCCAACACGTCATATTTTGTATAATGCAACTCGAAGTTGTGATGATGAGAATCTCGGTTGGGTTCGATTCATTGATCGAGCAAATAATGGACGCTCAATGATAATTCCAACTGTACAACCACCTTATTTAGAACATTGTGGCGCAGTTGTACCTGGGTGGTTAAAAGATTTTACATATCCAACGACAATTGGAACAACAGTTGCAGCTTCAGTTTGTGTTGATTTTGTAATAACAGGTTCAACAGTAAGATTTTGTATGTACACAATCGATATACAAATTACCAATTGTGGCCATGATTTTTTCGTATTCAATTTACCAGCTGCACCTCGATGCAATCTTCGCTATTGCACTATTTGAAATAATCTTTTATTAGAGAAGAAAAAAGATGTTTTAATTATATTCAAATATAAACATAACATGTACTCTGTCAAGAGTTATTCGGAGAACGAGGGTTTGGTTTGAACTATATTCATCAAAGGTTGTCGATGATCAGCAAAAATGAAGTTAATGAATGATTTAGAAATCTTGTTTGTTCTCCGTCTACAACAGACTCTCGATAGTGGCGTTTTTTTCCTTATCATTCACATTCTTAGACCAGAAAGTATTTTTTCCAGATTCTGGTGATAGTGGAATCAGCCAGCATGTTCTGTTTCGAAAGATGTTTGCAGGCTAAGTCGCTGACATGATCGTACACTTCTAGTTCATAAAGAAAAATGCATAAAATAGAAAATTCATTCAATTCATTAGAATATGGAACGAGTATTTTTCAAGTCAGTGATAGGAATGTAGATGATAGATGATGGTGTATGAATGTGACTAACGGATAGAGTTCACAGGAAAAATTTTCATGCATATTCGAACTTAAAATTAGACTCGAATGCCAATATTATAATTATACAATCGGAAAACTAGAAAGTAAGAAATTGAGAAAAATATTCTTGATAAGTATGCAGAAAACGAGAGATGGATCATGGAAGAATGAACTTTTCTTAAATAGGCGTTGTAAAAATTGTCGTGATTTCCATTTGTTCAGATGTCTCTCGGCAGAGTTTTAAGCATATTCTGATTAAAACTATTAACGAGTAAAATTCATTCGCCGCTCTGCTATTCAATTCATGATCAATCATGGGATGTAGATATTGTTTTTTTATTCTGAGGATGAATGTGGAATTTTGAATAGGCTTCTCCTCATCGTCAGAGAAAGAACTAAGCACTCGTTGTTTCTAAACATGCGATCGTGAGAATGTGGATGTAGATGCGGATGTGTGTGTAAGTGAGTATGGGTCTTGATTATACATATTCTCTTCGTTAACCGATACTCAATGCGATCTATCGAATGATATCAAGCTCAATCCTGCTGACTTGTAAGATCTATCTGTATTTGACCCCTCATAACAGCTTTGTGACCGTTTACTTTGTTCAAGCGAGAGTTCTCGTCTTAATGCGGCGGATAACTTGTTGTGAGTCTCTAAATAATCATTACAGATTTAAATTTTGGGTTGTGTATCAGAGAATGCTATTTTTGTTGGAAGTTGTCGAAGCAGCTCGTAAACTCTTGCATAGAATACTTGCGTTTTTAAGCCATTATACGGCTCGTCAGGTACACGGACATTCACCAATTATTACTGCTATAACTCACAATTGTAACATTTGCAATTATGGTTTATATCTGTTGGAGAGCACTCTATGACGATGGATTCATATTCTTTGTTTGTGTTTGTGTATGTCTATGTGTGAAAATATGAGTTTATGCGCAATTCTTTGTCTTCGTTTCATAGTCTTGTAGGTATCTAGACCATTTGTTTTCCTCATTGGTCCGAATGATTGAAATTCTAACATTCTTTCCTATCTTATGTTTCTCTAATATTGTGTAGCAATAATAGAAGATGCATGATATCTTCTTTATTTGATAGTAATCTGATTTCGGATAGACGTCCAAGCGAAAGTTTGTCTTCTCTTTCTCTTGCTTTTGTATTTCTACTATGTTTATATAGTGAATAAAAAGAGATGGCTATTAGTAAATAGCTACTGAAGTTAATTTGTAAACGAATTCTCAATTATTTGGATGTTAGTGTATAGTTTTTTCTTTACTCATTCAAACACCTACACACTTACACTCACATCATCAAGTTGATTCACCACAGTTCCTTTTTATTATTTGTGATTCACATATCACCTAGGATGTAAACTTGCCTTAGTTCAAAATGAAATGATGGCAACCGATTCATACTCAGCATTGCATGTCAGCATCTCCTCGAGCAGCAACCAGCCTAAAGATGAAGAACAGCATACGAACAGTCTTCTTTTGATATAATCAGCAATGTTTTTTTGTAACACATTATTTATTGTATTAGTTTTACGTCCCCGGTTAAGTGTTCCGAGCACCATCAGTTTCGAGTTTGCCCTCCGAGTATGTCAATCGATCAGTCAGGTTAGTCAGCTAGAACGAAGAGATGAAGAAAGGCCACTAATTAGGCAGGAAAGAAAAGAGGAGAGAGAACGACAAAGGTATAAAAGATTAGATCCCTCAGTAGAAAAACGTAGCTTGAAGAAATATTCAAAACGCATCGCTTATTCATTCATTGTACACATTCTTGTCTTCAGTAAACTTCAAAAACTACAACAAATCTTCTCTCTCTCTCTCTCTTACTCACTCACTTTAGTATCAACGTCTCAGCTCGTCACGGCGACACGTAGTATTACTCCATCTTCTTGTTGTTCGTTGTTTTTCCTCCGTTCTTCTACTGATTCGTTTGTTCATTTTATTCTTTGTTTCACTCGTTATCGATTCGCCATTCTTTGTCTTACTCTCACTCTCAAGAAAATTAATAAGACAGCACAATGGTATATGGAGAAAACTTATAATATTATATGAAAACTGGTATTTGCATGTATCTGAATCTATTTTCATAAATATTAAATAAAGGATCACTTCCTACGATATCGGATATCAGCGAAGATTGTTGTTCATATCATTGGTTTTATTTCAAAAATATGTTTTCTTTTTATTAAAGATTCATAAATACAATACAAACAAATTGAATATTTGATTATTTCCGAAGAACGGAAAAATTATACTTGTCAAGTTTTATCGATAAGTAAGGTCTCGGTTGCATAAAGGTGTAAATTTCTGGCGTGGAAGTTATGTGAACCCACCAAGTTCCACCATAGTGTTGGATAAGTTCACTTACAATTATTGATTCGATGTCTTCTTCATCCGTTCCTTCGCCGATGGCTTCTCGGATGATATTAATTACAGCTTCTTGCATTGGTGGCGATAAAGTCGAGTTGAAAATGCGAACTTCTAGAAAGAAAAATTCAATACTGCTTTAACACTTTTAATTTCGAACGCTTTTTTATCATTCATATCAGAATACTAACAAATTATCGTCTAAGCGAAACGGTATTCGAACAATTTCATGTAGATTTTTATACTCACTGGATGGCTTAGGCGGCGGCGGCGGCGGTGCTTCCTTAACTTCTGCCGTTTTTGTTGTTGAGCTGGCACTTCCGTTTGAGATAACTTTTGGCACTGGTGAATCTTCTAGAACAATCAATCAAATATAGAATATTCTCCAACGATGGTGGAAATGAATTACCTGCTGCTGAAGGGATAGATGATGTTGCGATATTATCAGGAGGCTTTGGCACATTTGGTATGGGTAGTTCCTTTTTAAACGGTGGTTTAACAAATGGAAATGGTGGTTCTAATTCTTTCATTTGAATAATATATAGATCGTCTGCTGGATTCAATTGTCCGATCACTTCGAAATATGAACCAGGCATCAATACGATTTCTTTTTCTGTATCTTTGAAATACGAATGTGGAGCAATTGATTTTCCATTTTGACTTTCAATAGAGAATAAAGTTCTCATGCCTTTTCTGCCTAGAAATGTTTCTGCCTGAAGAACTTCAACATTAGTTGTGCACGAGCTCACACCCCACCATGCAAATTTGGTTCCAGTCGGGTACTGCTTACTTAAATCGACACCGCGCACACCGCGCCAAATGGTTTGTGGATGAGATGGAAGTTTGTGAAGAGCCGTCATAAATAATTTAAGATAGGCAAACCATGGCTTGAGATTATCACGATTTTCACCTCGAAGAGTCGAATTAAAAAGTTGATAGAAATTAGGATCTGAATCGAACTGCATCGTGTACAAATGAATTGCTGCAGATTCATCTTGAGTGAGACCATCTGGCGGAGTTTTAGAATTCTCTTTTGAAATCCATACATTTTCTTCGACATCATCGAAAAAATTTGAAATAGGAGCCACAGCTAGTTCGAGTGATACAAGTGGTGCAGCTTCGTAACCTTTGATTGGCGAAAGAAGGCGTGCAACGGGTTCACCGATTAAGTCGGTATATCGAGACTTGGTGAGATTTTCATGAGGTGATGTGGTTTTTGACATGTTAGAAAACTATGAACGTTTAATACTTTCTATATAACGTACCGTTGATTGACGATTTAAGACAACCACGTGAAGTTTTGTATGCTTATTCACTATGTATCAGTGTATGAATGACAAGTAAGCAAAAGGATAGGGCAATTTATCTATCGATACACTTTCCTTTGAAAAGCTACGTGAAGGATGAAAATAAGTAAGTAGATAAAAAATAAAAACTACTCTTCCGTAACCAACAGGTATTTCACCATCCATCGAACTATAACGAACGAAATAGAATATAAAACGATACTCTCACTTTTTTATATGTCAATCAATCATAGGACTTGAACATATATATAACTAAAGTTATATAAGTGATGCAGTTTTTTCTAATTTTTAATTTTTGCTCTTCATACGTCTAATCTAATTTAGTGTAATATATAATTGTTCATAACAAAAATGATGGCATGATGAACATGATGAGGAAGACGATATATAATAATAATAATCATAAATACTGTAATGATAATAATTATAAATTGTATGATAATAATAACAATACTAATAATTAATGCTATCTAATCTAATCTAATCCAGAGCTTTTGGGTTTATAGAATCATCATCAGTATTACAACAGCATAAATACATAATTCTGAATACAAATAAGCGTTTTTGTCTATGAACGCTGCAATTGTAAATACACCCACATTCACATTATACTAATATTTTAAAGTAATGTAAAATAAATTATAAAAACTCTACTGATAGTTTAAAACTGATATAATTGCAAAAGTTGAGCAAATAGTAAACAAATACCAGGTGGGGCTAAAGTTTTGCGACATTTGGTGTTTTTCATATATCTCAGTTCAGACAAAAGATAAAATCTTGAATTTAATTTTGGAAGATGTGCTATTCAATTCTCTACAAAAGTATATTTACCCTAATTTAAAATAATAGAACTGAAAGGTTTTATGAGTCAAATAGTGTGCTTATATAAATTGTATCTATGTTCCACCCGATTTTTTAATGAATTATTTTTTGTGTAAGAACGAATATTTTGCTTTTAGAAATAACAGACTGCCAGATAGCTCTTCAAAGCTCCGGTCGATTGCTTATATGTTTAACATTGATTCTTTCCATTAGATAGAATTTTTCGGGAAGTAATATTTTGCAAATCGCAAAATTTTCTCTCTCAGTTATCCCTTTCCAAAGAAGCCTTTTTAGAATGTGATATACGGCCAAACGGGGTTCAATTTTGCAGTATTTTGAAGAAAAGGGATTTCTCTTTCTACTGAAAGCTCAAAAAACATCTGGCACAACGATTCAATTAGAATAAGAGTCTGAAAATCGCCTGGAATACTATTTTTACAGTAGCATCTCAAACAGATCACTTTTATTAGGCCCAAACAAATTGCAATGGAACGCAAAACAACTTATTCTGAAAGACCATTACTATTTGATCGTATTGTTAATAATTAGTTTCTTTAACACCTGTTTATAACAGAAGAAAGTCAGGAAAAGTCTTGTAAAAAAAAGTGTCGGACATGGATACAATTCTGATAAACACACTATTTGACCCATAAAAACTTTCAGTTCTATTATTTTGAATTATGGTAAATACACTTTTGTAGAGAATTGAGTAGCACATCTTCCAAAATTAAATTCAAGATTTTATCATTGGTCTGAACTGAGATATATGAAAAACAGCAAATGTCGCAAAACTTTAGCCCCATCCGGTATTAATTATCGCATGACTCATGCTAACTCTACCATGGAGATCAAAATCCGATGATCTCTGTGCCGGTCGCAAGTCCGCATAAAGGAGGAGCGTTAGACGGAAGGAGTGCAAATACCGCCGTCTGTAAAAGAAAAAGACAAAAGAAACTAGCAATGAACGGAAAATATCGAAAATGAAACCGGCTCGGACGTCGCCCGGGTGAACAAGCCCCGCGTCCTCTGTCGAGGAACCACGACAGTGTCGAAAAATTTGCTACTAGAACAACCATCCATACAACAACAGCACCATCAACGACGACAAATGGAACTCCAAGGCAAGCACAAATTACAATAACAACGACCAAACATGGCTCACAAAGACTGAAGATGACAAAAGACATTTTTACTGTTGGTACTTGGAAGAATGTTCGAACGCTATGGACAGTTGGACAACTAGAACTATTAAGAAACAATATGAAGCGATACAAATACGATGTCATCGGCATCTCACAAGTACGTTGGACAGGAAAAGGTGAAACATCAAACGACGATTTCATCTGGTCAGGAGAAGACAATACATATACTAAAGGTGTTGGAATGCTACTTAGTACAAAAGCAAGAAAATCACTTATGGGTTATAATCCAATCAACTCAAGGTTAATTACGGCAAGATTTAATGCAGTACCATTCAATATAACAATAATCATTGTGTATGTTCCAACATCTGATACGTTAGATCTTGACATCAAGACATTCTATGACAATTTCGAAGATGTTGTGGTACGAACACCCAAACAAGATATGTTTATCATAACTGGTGATTGGAATGCAAAAGTGAAGAATGCAAGGGGGAAATCACGTACTCGGAGTACGGGAGTACTCTTGGAGTACAGGGAGTACCAGGAGTACACGGGAGTACACAGGAGTACATGGGAGTACAAGGGAGTACAAGGGAGTACAAGAGAGTACAAGGGAGTACAAGGGAGTACATGGGAGTACAAAGGAATGCAAGGGAGTACAACGAACGTAATAATTTATTCCGAATATTTTTTGAAAAAGCATTGAAATACTGCTTTTTTTCTTGTTTTAATTTTTAAACGACCTCAAATAATAAGTTCTTCAGTAGATAAAGCAACCAGGACAGTATATAGTGGACGAGACGTCGCATTCTTCTTTCTCGTCTTTGTTATAGTTGAACGCAAGGGGAAAAGGCAGATTCTCAAGATTCTGAATCCTTGGGAGCACAAGCGGAATTCTCGAAATCCTGGGAGTACGATTTATCCTATAAGGATATCCATAAGTCTTCATTGGTTATCCTATGGGAGTACGAAGGTGAAAACACGTACTCCCATATTCTGAATACTCCCGGAGTATCGATGTGAAGCTAGCACGATACGACGAATTACCACGACGATATACGAAAGTATATAGGTCGTTTGAATAACCAATCAAAAAATCAAAAAAGACGAAAACCATCAATGTGGAGGACAACGATTCGGCAATGTCGGCCATAGCAACAAAAATAAATGTGAAGCTAGCACGACGAAGAAAAAGAGCACACGATTTTGACAAAAAAAATATTTGTGCAGCCAGACGGACCATTCCCAGAACAAATGCTAGATATCATCTTGTAGATAATTTAATTCTCTACAAGATGGTATATTCATCATAGGGAGAATAAATTTTGGGAGGGGGGTTGAGAAAGAAAAAAAAGATCTCCCTCACACTTTTTAGGAAGGATTTCCAATCTCCGATTCGCTCCAGTGGATAGAGTTTCCATTGCAACGGGAGACCAAACATACCATTAGATAGAGAATTGAATTCCCTACAAGATGATATATTCATCATACCGAGAATCGATTTTCGGGAGGCGGTTTAGAGGGAAAAAAAAATCTCCCTCACAGTTTTCACGAGGGGTTTTCCATTGTCCGACCCGCTCCAGTGAATCGAGTTTCGATTGCAACGGGAGACCAAACATACCATTAAATACAGAATTGAATTCTCTACAAGATGGTATATTCATCATACCGACAATCAATTTTCGGAAGGCGGTTTAGAGGGAAAAAAAGATCTCCCTCACATTTTTCACGAGAGGTTTTCCATTGTCCGATCCGCTCCAGTGACTCGAGTTTCCATTGCAACGGAAGATCAAACATACCATTAGATAGAGAATTGAATTCCCTACAAGATGATATATTCATCATACCGAGAATCGATTTTCGCGAGGCGATTCAGAGGGAAAAAAAAATCTCCCTCACATTTTTCACGAGAGGTTTTCCCTTGTCCGATCAGCTCCAGTGACTCGAGTTTCCATTGCAACGGAAGACCAAACATATCATTACATAGAGAATTGCATTCTCTACAAGATAGTATATTCTTGATAGAGAGAATCGATTTCTAACTGCGGGTTAGAAACGAAAAAAAAGAGCCGACCCCCAGCCCCATGGGACATTTTCTGATATTGAACTGGCTTCGTGTCCAGCTACAATCCATTGCAACGGGCGAGTGAATATACCATTCGATAGAGAATTTTATTCTCTGCAAGATGGTATATCAAGTCTCCCGTTGCAATGGAGACTCTAGCCACACTAGCCGATGAGACTTGCGAGAAACCTTGCTCAAAAGTGCGAGAGTGACTAATTTTGACTTCCGAAGCCCCCTCTAGAAATCGATTCTCTCTATCATGAATATTACATCTTGTAGAGAATTAAATTCTCTATCTAATGATATGTTCAGTCTCCCGTTGCAATGGAAACTCTCTTCACTGGACCGGATCCGACTATGTAAAACCTCTAGAAAAAAGGGTCAGGGAGATCTTTTTTTCCCTCTACACTCCCTTCCCAAAATTGATTCTCTCTATGATGAATGTATCATCTTGTAGAGAATTCAGTTCTCTATCTAATGATATGTTCAGTCTCCCGTTGCAATGGAAACTCTGTTCACTGGAGCGGATCTGACTATGGAAAACCCATCGAAAAAAGTGTCAGGGAGATCTTTTTTTCCCTCTAAACTCCCTTCCCAAAATTGATTCTTGCTATGAGGAATATACCACCTTGTAGAGAATTCAATTCTCTATCTCATGATATGTTCAGTGTCCCGTTGCAATGGAAACTCTGTTCACTGGAGCGGATCTGACTATGGAAAACCCATCGAAAAAAGTGGCAGGGAGATCTTTTTTTCCCTCTAAACTCCCTTCCCAAAATTGATTCTCGCTATGATGAATATACCAACTTGTAGAGAATTCAATTCTCTATCTAATGATATGTTCAGTCTCCCGTTGCAATGGAAACTCTCTTCACTGAACCGGA